ATTTGATTTTTAAATTAGCACTTTTTAAACCTTAATTCAAGTTAAAATGTCTATAAGATCTTTGTTCTCTTTCTTTTTCAAATTAAAATTTTTCAGGGTACATGCCCTATATCTACGGTGCTGCAGCGGCCACTTCTTGTTTTTATCGCTGTTCATGTGTTGTCTGTAATATACAAATATTTGTGTTACTATCTTATGTTATGTCTTGTTATGTTATTCTTATATGTTTATACTGTTATTTGTACTTACTCAGTGTAGGCGCTCTCTGTGTGTGTCGCTGCTTATCTTTAATACGTGTGCTGTCTGGTGTATTGTGTGCTGTGTTTCATGTTGGTGGGTGTTGGAGGGGGAATGGGTAGTGGGGAGGGAGGTACCATTAGTCTGTATAGATGATATATGATGATGGCCATTTAGGGCCGAAACATGTAGTGTGGAGGAGGAAAAAGAAGAAAAAACTACAATAAAATTGTTGCACTTAAGACGGTATTTGTCCATATATATAACCCAGTAGATTCACATCATCGGCATAGGTCAACAGCTGATGTGTCCCATTTAATTTCAGTCCCACCTGGTTTTCTTGAACCCTCCTGAAGGCATATTCTAAAGCAAAGTTGGAAAGGAGTGGCAATAAAGCATCTCCTTGTTTTAGACCATTCTGGATAGAAAATTTATCAGACAAATGTTTACCTACACGGACTTTACTATATGTTTCGTTTAAACACATTTTAATCAACCTAAATGGTTTCATGGGTATCCCAAACTCTATTATAATATTGTACAATACTTCCTGCTTGAGTGAATCATAGGCTTTCTTGACGTTTATGAATAGCTGATGTACCCTCTCATCGTACTCCCATTTTTTGTCCAATATCTGATGAATGCAAAAGATCTGATCTGTAGTTAATCTGTTACGTCGAAACCTACACTGATGATCCCCAGTAATTTCATCTTATATGGACTTAACCTTGAAAGAAGAATATTGGACAAAATTTTATATGAAGTTGATAGCAGTGATAGCCCCTTTAATTGCTACAGTCAGTTTTATCACCCTTCCTGTGAACTGGTACAATAGACTCCTTCCACTGATCAGGCAATTTTTCCTTATGCCAAATAGAAGTAATTAGATTGTGGATCTTAGAATGTAATATTTTGCCTCCTACTTGAATAAGTTCTGCTGGAATTTGATCATTACCTGGCGATTTATACCGTTTCAATTTTGCAATAGCACTTTCAACCTCAAAAGGGCTAGGATCAGGTATTAACGGCTCAGCTGTATGGATTTCTGTCTGATTAACAGCACTGACCCTATGTACATTCAATAATTGAGAGAAGTGGTTCCTCCACTTATTCAAAATGTTGTGGGAATCTGTAAGCAGATCACCATTCTCATCCTTCACTAAGTTACTGCTAGGCTGGTAACCCCTCTTAAAGCCATTTATTCCTCTATACAGGTCTCTAATGTTCTTGTTCTTACTGTTCATTGCAAGCTCATCAATTTTGTCTTTCAGATATTCCCACTTTTTGTTCCTGACATGCCTGATGGTTTCACGTCTTATATTGTTCAGATTATCCCCATTTAACTCGCTTGGATCCTGTAACCATTGCAATATGGCCTGCTTTCTTTGATCTAATAATTTTGAGCATCCTTCATCAAACCATGGCTTATGCTTCTTCGGTTCATAATAACCTAGACTCTTTAGCAGAAATTTTGATATTCTCTCTAATAGTTTCCCAAGCTTTATTAACATCCACCTCAGTTTCCAAGTTTTCCAAAGCCGTGAACAATTTTGAGATTTCAACACAATACTGCTCTTTACCCTCTAACTTGTTTAATTTCTTGAGATTGAACCTCTCCATATGAACTCTGTGTGTTGTTTGTTTGCTCACTGCCTGTCTTTCCCTAACCTTTGCCACAACCAGATAGTGGTCAGTATCACAATCTGCTGCCCTGAATGATCGTACATCAAGTATACTTGAGTGCCATCTCCTATCTGTCAAAATATGGTCTGTTTGATTGTGTATCTTCCCATCAGGAGATGTCTTAAGTATATTTATGGATGTTACGATGTGGGAACATTGTACTTTTGACAGTAAAATTTTTTGATGTGGCAAACTTTACTACTCTGACTCCATTATCATTACTAATTTCATGCAAACTCTCATTCCCAATCATTGGTTTGAAAATGTCTTCCCTCCCTACTTTGGCATTGAAATCTCCTAAAAAAATTTCATACCAACAACCTTTTAGTATTATATATGATATCCTACCATTAACGAACTCTACCCTCTTAACTGCTGATACAGTTCTCTTATATACAAAAAAGCCTGTACCTAATTCATGATTTTCATTCCCCTTTCCATAGAGAAATGTATAGTCTCCTGTTGGTGCGATGCCACCTCCATCCCATCTGACCTCCTGTACTCCCGCTAAATCTAACTTATATTTTAAGATTTCTTCTGCCACTGCCCTGAGCGAACCTGCCCTGTACACACTTCGAACATTCCAAATGCCAAATCTCATACCCATTTTAGCCCCATGCCCAACCCCCAAGCTGGAGGGCCACCCGTTTTCAGCTGTCAGCAACCGTTTATTCAATATATTCGCATCTTCCCTCCAAAACTGGATGGCGTCTCCATCCGCAACCTGAGGACGTGCCATGCCGTGGTGACAAGGGCCCCACCTAACGTGGGCTACTCCCATTATTTTTTAAAATTTACCCCCTCATGATTTCTTGTTGCTGTATTTTCAAACTAATGGACCAGTTATTGTACAACAGGCAAACCATACCTGCAGCAAGCTGGCCAAGCACAAAACGAACTAGACATTACAGATACCCTAGAAATAAGTATGAAGGACCTATATATATTACTTGCAGTTGTAGTTCAGATGGGTCATGAGCAAAATTCTAGCATGACACTACATGGACCAAAGACGGACTCTGCCACATTCCATTCTCATCTGGTGTGATGCCATGTGATCACTTTCTCAGGCTTCTCAAATATTTGCATTATGTGGACAAACAGAACCCACCAATACAAGACAGAAGATCCTGGTTATGACACATTATGGGATACCACACATATATTTGACATTCTGAATTAAAAATTTTCAGCACTGTACCATCCAACAGAACATATGGCAATGGATGAAGTAATCGTAAAATTGTGAGGGAATTTCAGCACAGGAGAAGGGCATATTTTAGTAACACTGGCTACAAAGTGTTAAAATGAAGTGCTGAGGACTGTTATTCTCTTTTACTGAAGTTTTTGTAACATTGTGACATTACAATGTGCTGCTGTTTATTCGCTTATGGACAAGATTTCTGTGTTCTCCAGAAAGGGATGATGAGATGGCATAGCGTATACCACATAAATGAACAATGAGAATATTAGAGCAGTAACACTGACAGTGCAGACAAGAGAAGAATTATATTTTGTTAAAACAACTCTATGTACATGTCTGCTGGTCACGGTAGCCGAGCGGTCTAAGGCGTGCACTGTCTTCGCTCGCTCGGAAGCTGGGATCGTGGGTTCAAATCCCACTCGGCATGGATGTTTGTGTGCGTTTTTCTGTGTTTGTCTACAGGTAGAGGCCTTGCGACGAGCTGATCACTCGCCCAAGGAGTCCTACCGTATGTGTAAGATCTAGAAAAACCTAAGTGAAACGGAGTGTTTCGTGGAGGTAGGCCTAGGCCCAAATTGGGGCTGTAGCGCCACAGGGGGGAAAAAAAAAGTACATGTCTGGTGTATGTTTTTCTGATTATGTCAAAATATGTAGTATTTAGAGGCAATATCATGAAGAGAATATGACTGACAGTCTTGAGGTGATCCAGCTGCTTGCTTATGAAAGAATCTCAACAAAATAACAGACTTAAAAAACTAAATTTGAAATATGTAGCCCTAAACATGGTACTGGCATTTCCTTCATTACTGTTGAAATGTTTATAGTAACATGAGTTAGTGTCCATTTCCATTAGTTGGACAAGGCTGTGTTTTAAGGTCAGGTTGACATTGAAATGGAATGGGTTTTAATGGAGAAGTACAGAATTTAAAATGGTCCCATAACACAGCAAAACATTGTCAGTAAAACTATCAGTAGAGAAAATCCTGTCTGAATAATGTGTGAAAGTGCAAGTAAGAATGACACACTACTGGCAGTTATTTTATGAAGATTTATGTCAACAGTATGTGGAAGCATGTCCAAACAGAAGTGTAAGATTTAAGAAAGGAAAGTATGACAGTATAACATGATGGCAAAATTTTGATAATTTGCTCAGTATGTAAGTATAATTTGTAAGATTTGAGGCTTTCACGGCGGTGACTATGAAGAAAGCAGTCTTCTGGGATTTGGCACCGTGTATATATGGTGTTAACCGANGGAGGCGATACGTTCCTCCGAAACGTCGGTTAACACCACATATACACGGTGCCAAATCCCAGAAGACTGCTTTCTTCATAAGTATAATTTCATTGTGGTATTAAAGAAACTACACATTTGTTAATGTATGAATGTATGTTGCCTGACAGTATTGACAAAGGTACTTGTAAACAAGCTGCTGAGTGTATGAAGCCATAGGAAGAGAATTGGAGATGTTTTATTAATTATCTGGATTAAGTTAATTTTGGCAACAAACCAGTAGTTGTCAAGATTATTTAGGTATAAGGAATAAAGCTTTCATTTTTTGCCAGTCATAGTTTTTGGAGAAAGAGACCACTTGGAACGCACAGTCACGTACAGTATGTGAGGATAATATTAAAATTGGTCCTAGAGGAATAGGGTGTGAACTGGCTTAATATGTCTCATGATAGGGTCAAGTGGCAGGAATTAGTGGATGTGGTAATGAACTTTTGGGTTGCATAAAAGTTGGGGCATTTCTTTGTCAGTCAAGTGATCACATGCTGCTGAGAAAGGACTCTTTTATATGGAATTAGCTTTGAGCAGTGTAGGGATTTAGGAGAAATGTTTAAGATCTTTTTAATGACATAAAAGCTACAAAAGAAATTACTGAGAAGAATATAGAATGCTATTTTGTAGGATTTTAAATTTCAGCAGGACTGTATTGTATGTTTACTACTTACATAGTTAATTGCCTTTGTGTTGTAGGTTTTGTATCAGTCGTTAATGCATTAGGTTGTTTGTATGTACTTTAGTGTAGGCTTTCTTGAAATTTAACAACACAATTAACAAAACTGTTTTCAGGTCCACATAAAAATTCTGACTTTGAATTGAAGATTCGAAGACTTACAGATATGGGCATTGAGGATCATCAAGCAAGAGTAGCATTATCTTCATACAACTGGGATCTGGAAAGAGCCACTGAGCAACTGTTCAGTTAGTTAAATCTAAATAAGTTAGTTTGTGGTTGTAATCAGGGAGATAAGTCATGTTGGCTTCATGCTGCCATTTGCTACTCTAATATCCATACTGCTTTGTGTTTTTTATGAAAAACACGCAAGTTATGGTGATGTTTTGAAAAGAATCATTTCTTTTTAAAATTGGCAGTTTAGATCTGATATGTAATTTCCATATTATATTACGCGTCAAAAAAATCAAAGACACAAAATTGTACATTCATAGGGCACTGCATTTAATATAATTAAGGGTAGACTGGTCGTTATGTTTGAAACCACAAATGGACTTCAGGATACTGTGGTACATAAATGTATAACTATTCAGCAAACATTTTTAGTGCACATTGATACATTTCTTCCACATATATGATTTTCCAACAAACACTCTAAAATAAAATAGCATGAGTAATTTAAAAATTATATGAGTATTGTAGTATGATTTGGATGTGCTGAGAATTGTGACTTTCAGTAACGCATTTCACATCAGAAAGTAAAGTCAGTATTCTGTATGGAAGCAGTTCTCTTCCTCCCTATTAATGGTATGGATACCTAAGCATAAAAAATACCACTGTAAGATGTGTGCTAGATTCTGAAGACAGCAAACTGTTTATTATTTGTTCATTTGAGTGGAACATATCACATAAATTTTATTGTGTCTCGTCTAATAACCAGTGCTTGATTACGAATAAGAACAGGCAGACATGAAAATAATGTTTCTCCACACAAATGGTCATATTTGATAAACAGTTCTCTTGAGTCTTTGGATCTTAAAACCATAGACCACATACCACTTGTGAACTGTAATAGTTTTTCCTCTACAAAATTGGAATGAAACTTAGTAGGATGTGTGATAACATAAAAGTAATTATTTTTCATTCTGTTTTAGGTAGATGAACATATTACAACGTTTTGAGGATCTCTTTTCTTCAGGGGAGGGGGCAGGGCTTTAGTCATCATGCTCTGGAGTAAAATTTTTAGAGGAGGTTTCGTTCATTTGAATATAACTTGTTGGTAATATGTTCCATGCTGAAGAAACTTTTTTTTAATATCATACAGTGGGTCCAATTTACTCTTTTATTAAATTCTAATTACAGTAAAAGACAACAATATCAGAAAGTTGCAGCATATTACAATGTAATCTTGTTACGGTTATGATATGCATAACAAAAAGACCCCATCGGTATATGAGATAGTGAAAGTATAATAGATAATGAAATTACTTGCACATGTGCCAGTGTCTACGAGTACATGAAGAAAATTTTTGGCTTCTGATTTTGTATTGATGAGGTGTTAATCTGTTGTTCTGAGAATCTTCTAGGAGCACTTTATAATCTTAAGTGTAGCAGGAGTGCATCTGCAGTCTCATTTGATAACATAAGATCCTGCAATTGCAAAGTTTACATCTCCATTAAGAGAAAATATACTTAAGACCAAAACACAACTTTGTAGTATAAACTGAAAATAGAAAGGTAAAGGAAACTATTTCCAAAAATTTGACACAAAAAAAGGCACAGACATCTGGAAGAAGCTGGAATTTAATACTTTCAGCCTCTGAATATTTCACAGGTATTTATATGTTCCACATGATAGTGAAATTGTGTAGGCTTTGATTTGTTTAAGTTATATTTTATTGTACGTATTACCTTTCATAAAGGGTAGCTGCAAGGGGAGGCTCACTTTGTTTTCTATTTATGATTCTTTGTCTGGATGTCATGTTTTCAAAAAAATTTTCCACAGCTGACCTAACCATCTTGTTTCAAGAGATAATCTGTGCGCAATTTAATACATATGGAATATAGTTGATCTGTTCATCTGACCCAGTAGGGGTAGCAATTTCTGAACAGCCTTTATCAATACTTTATATCATAAATTTCACATTAAAACTGGAACATACGGAATAATCTTACCATTTTTCTCTGTTACAATTGATTGAACTTTGCTCTTTACCATGTTACTCATGCAATCCAAAAATACCTCAAAACAGATTTACAGAACTTGAGATAAATATCCTTACTTTGTACATTTTTAGATATAACAAAATATCTGAGATAAAGGAAATTTGTATGAAATCAATGAAGAGATGAAAAGAATAAATAAAATACTGATAATTGAAATGTTTTAAAACTTATGTTGTAAGTTTTTTGCATTTGCCACATTTCATTTGAACATCTTTGATTTTCAGTATAATGTTTTGATCTTCCATTTTACATGATGATCTAGACTGCTGTTAAGATTAGGTCTTATCGTTACTCGTCATTGTAAGATCCTCAGATTTCATATAACCTGTTGTTTTATCAGCCTATAGGGAATGCCACTTGTTAGCATTGAGAGTAGGAGTGAAGTGTAATGATTTATAAGGACTATATTATCACACACTCAAAAGTGAGGAAGTTATTAATTATTGAGCAGAAATTGGTATCGATGTGTAAGGACTCATGAGAAACAGAAAGTACAGCGAGATTGTTTGTGAGCACGCATTCAAGTGGAAGAGTGACAGTCCCTGATCAAGCTGATCTAACACACAATCCAGAAGTTCTCTTCAGGAAATTCTAGCCAGAAAATGTCCTGTAAAGTTAGAACTGCAAGATTCATTGCTGTCCTTTACAATGCAGATAGCAGTACCCTTCATGTATGGAAGAATCTCATGTGTTTCTGTTTGTTTGTTGGAATGCTAGCACTGGGTGTTGGGTGCTACTAAATATCTCCATTTCCATTCAGGTGAATTAACTCTTGACATGCTTTGCCTTTTACTTTATAGCTGTCAGTACAATGAATGGATACAGCCTGGATAACAGGTCAAATTCCGGACACAGGGGCAAGGATTTATTTCTCAACTGGGGAGAGGGTGTTTCCTCTGGGCATAGAGCTGGCAACTTACCTTCAACTAGTGCTGAAGATAAGAATGTATGGAGCTTTACCACAGGGACTTTACGTTTTTAATTTATTTTGATAAAGAATTCCTGTGTGTGTGAGATTTTTGTTTAAAGTCTCCATCCCGCCTACTAGTGCCAAGGTCAAGAATATGTAGATCTATACATCCACTCCCCCATACATCTTCATGGCATAGTGCTCAATTAGTTAAACATGGGGACAATTTTAACTTTTACCTTTACAAGTTTCTTACCTCATGACACTGTAAACTTCCCAGCAAACAGACTGGTAAGTGTAAGTGTAAACATGTATAAGTGATTTCAAGAGTATGAGTAATTCTGGAAGGCTGTAATAATGTTATTTCTATGACAATATAACCAACTTGCATAATTGTAATGACAGCTTATTTCGAACAGAGAACTGGTGTCATGTGTATAAGCTACTGGTTTTAATTGCACTCAAGTTTGCTTACAAGCTGAAATTTTTACAAAACTTTGTTGTACAAAATTTTTATCAGAAAATTTCATTGTGTATATATACTTGAGTGGAAGACAATCTAAATGAAAATTGCATTTGATGCTCCAAGTACTGCAATCATTTAAATATTTGTAATATACTGTTTACTGTACAGTTACTTTCATATGGTAAACTTTTATAGATCCATGTTTTCTTGACCTTGGCGCAAGTTGGTCAGCTTCACGCCCTGGCTGCTTTACCCCCGGTATCCATTGGATAGGAGGCAGGGTGGACCCCAGAGCCAATCTGAATGACATGGAGAAGAGAAAGTTCTTGACCTTACTAGGACTTGAGCTCTGACTCCTCAGTCGTCCAGCCCATTTGAATAATTAGCTGATCTACATGACACAGTTGCATCTGGCTATATATTTTTATCTCATCCAAAAATTATTCGTTTAATTATTCCAGTTCTTTGCAGAACATAAAATGATACAGCATTGGTGAATGTAACATCCCAGAATTCATTCAGGAATTACAATAAATCTGTTATCTTATGTTCAAACTGTACTTTTTCTACTGTTGATAATGGGTCCAAATTTTTATTTTAAATTCTTTATTGATTTTTTTTTTTATTCTATTGATTCCCTTGAACTTACTTAAAGAAAATGGCCTGAGTATTTTCTAGTTTAGAAACTATGATGCTAAGTTGAGTGTCAGAGCTCCAGTCCTTCTTAAATGCACTAGGTTTAATTTCCTGTTTCTTCATTTAAGCTTATGTAGGAGAGTGTAGAGTTTTATTCACTTACAAGTTGCAAATACATATATACATTTTATATGATGAACAGAAAAATGGACATACTATATTCCCAATATAAAAATAATGTTAAAAGAATCAGGTGATTGCTTTGTGTGGTACATTGTTATAAATTGTTTTATATTCATTGAATTAGAATGCACATGTAACATTTGTTAATTCTGTATTTTAAAATTAATCAGACCATAAAATTTACTTGAATACATAGAAGTAATTGGGTTGTGTTCTCTCTGTTTAGATAGTTATATTTCATATTGAAATTTTAGATTACAATCAACCTGCAACCATGAATTCCACACTGATATTTTAACTTTATATTTATTTGTGCAATTATGGTTATTAGCATAGCTGTAGAATGCTACTGCATATGGACATACCAATCCTCAACAGACATACAATGTTCAGTATTGCATTCTATTTTCTGATGGTTTTGTATTCAATTTTGTGTCCCCATCTTTGAAACTGGAAAACCTGCAAAATGCTATTCTTATGACAATTGATACAGAGTGATATTACAGACTCAAATTCAGAACAGATCAAGTTGAAGAGCTGAAGACTGGATGCCTGCTGCACTGTCTCTATCATCCTGACTCTGTGGATATATAGTTTTGCATTTTTATAGCCACAAAATTTAGAATGAATTTGAGGCAGGAAACGGTACAGCAGAATCCCACTGTTATGTGTCTTTCTACATGTACATATAATTTTTATGGTTTATAGAATTTTGTAATGTTTATCTTACCAAAGGTCCAGAGATAGGGACTAGCTCCATTAATTGGGCCCAACTGAGTAGGTTTTACCTGAAGACAGAGACAGAATCCAGTTTCCGAAGTATTGTTTTGAAAAATAAACAGGACTGTTTTTTGATAAAGACAAGATGATGGTTAATGTCCAAAAACATAATATTTGTACTAATGTACCAGTGTCACAAACATTTAGATCTTATTAAGGAAATTTAGCTATTTGTTCTGATAAAAAAAAATGAATCCAAAATCAGTGTTATAACTGACTTCATTAGGTACCTTTAATTTCAATACCTTTCCCACCTATGACATTACATTTTAGCTTGAATATACTTGAAGATTACTGTTTATATTGGTTAAAAAAACTGTATTTGTTTAAAGAGAGGATGGACAGATGGAAGGTATTAGTATGCTCATTCCTCCAAAAATTCATTCTAAGTGTGACCAGTTATCATATGTACCACGAGGTTTAACACACAAAAACTCTGCATTCTGCCCACAGAGTGTATTTGTGTTTTTCATAGGTTCTCACACTAAACAGTGATTGTTTCCCTAAACATTAACCAGCTGATTTTTATAGCAGAGACATAATGTATTTCCTCTAAAACACGAAACAAATTATTATATACGAGGGTTGTACTGAAAGTCATCAGCAACAATTTTTAGTAAACATGCTTTATTATTGACAAACCAAATACACCACTTCAATCTACAGATCTTTCTTTATTTTTCCATAAAATCGCCACTTCTTTGTACACATTTCTCCCAATGTTCTGGAAGTTTGAAAATTCTCCTTCTGTAAAGTTCTGTTCCAGTCATCCGAAGACACTGACACACTGCTTTTTGAATTGCCTCCCTTGTCTCAAAACGTCCATGCAGCTGATCCTTCACAAATCCGAAAAGATGGTAGTTGGAGGGTGCCAGATCAGGGCTATAGGAGGCGTGTGGAAGAACTTCCTACCCCATCTTTGCAATTGCTTCCAATGTGAGGCGAGTGGCATGGGGGTGAGCGTTGTCATGCAGGATGATGATGTTTCGTCCTGGATGTTTATCGCGCAATGCATGATGAAGCTTGTGCAGCGTCTGGACATAACGAGCAGCATTGATGGTTTGCCCAGGTTCCAGGAATTTGGCCAGAATAAGCCCCTTTGCATCCCAGAAGACTGCCCATCATCTTCACAGCTGATGGCACTGTTTTTACCTTATTTTTTGATGGAGAATGCAAATGGTGCGGTTTCGTGTCAGGCTCAAAATGGTGAAACCAGCTTTCGTCACCTGTCATAATACAGAGCAAAAAATCATTGCCTTCGTGTCAATATCTCTGCAGAAATTCTGAGGTGATGGCTTTTCGCTGACCTTTGTGGTCTTCGGTCAATAACCATGGGACCCAACAAGCACAAACTTTCCTATAGCCAAAGCTTTCAATCATCTCCTGTACTGCACTGTGCCCTATTCATAGTTTTTGGGCTATTGTGTCCACAGTCACATGCCTGTCATCTTGAATGATCTCATCCACTCTTTCCTTGTTGCGTTCAGTTGAGGCCGTTCGAGGACGACCGCTCCAAGGCTCATCTTTGATGCTGGTGTTCCCATCTTTAAAATGTTTCACCCATCTTCGAACATTGCTTGCACCCATGCACACACTTCCATAAGCATGCTGAGGTCTCTGGCGAATTTCTGCAGCAGGGATTTCCTCTTTCACAAGAAATTTGATGACAGCATGCTGGTGAAATGACATATGGCTGTCGGCTATTTTGTTAGGAGTGATACTGGTCACGTGATGCAAGCTATTGATGTCACAAGACACTCAAGGTTAACACAACAGCTGGTTCCACCTACCACCATACTCTCTTTCATCTGCTGTTCCTAGGTTGCATGCAAAAAAAGTTGTTCATGACTTTCAGTACGACCTACGTATTATTTAGAAGTCAGTCTTTAAAGTGTTAAATGTTATAAACCATTTTAATTCAAAATGTCATGGCACACTAGTTGAGAAACTTGTGCAAACTGTAAGACTAACATGAAATGTTAGCATGTGATGACAGAAAATAATATTAACAGAAATAAACACTCAGTCATTATACAGAGAAAGCCTGCAATTATCACTGTGATTGTCTTTGTGTTTAATACCTCACTATAGTCTTGTCTACACACTGAGGGTTTTGGCATAATTTTAAGTTGTAGATGTATTTATAAAAGTAATGCATTTATACCTTGTAGCTGCTATTGGCTTTGTAATACTGTCAGTAGCTAGACTACATAATATTCAATGTCAGATGACAGATGAATGATAAATTGTAAATGATTTGGAAGGAAGAGGTCATAGCCCAATTAAGGCATTATCATGGCATCCTACCTGGAGGGACTGAGGAAAACCACAAAGGGTCTCACTCAGGCTAATGAAGTCCCAGCCAAGATTCATACCAAACACTTCTTGAAGGTGAATCAAGAGTGTTGCCACTATGCCAGCCCTTTGGTGTAGTCATATAAAAGCAAACTTTACTTCATGATGTTCCTGGTATATCTACATTAGTTTGAGTGGAATGCAATCTGTCAGCATAAATTCACTTCTGTTAAAAAAAACTGTTATTTTAGTCCGCAAGCAAACTATACCGACCAAACGACCGCCGCTTGTTGGTGAAGTTTAGTGCCAACCTTTGTGGATAGAGGGTGTCGCTTGATCAACGCAAAGAATCCCCATGGCCATTAATTTCGGTTTTCTAGACTGGAGCTGCTATTTCCTTGAAATAGCTCCTCAATTATCATCATGAGGCTGAGTGGACCCCATTCCAGACCCACTTCTTCTCAGAAAAAATCCGGTAGCACCAGGAATCGAACCCGGACCTTCAGATCTGTAGCCAGGAACTCTGACCACTAGACCATAGAGGCAGTCAAATTCACTTCTGTTACTAACAAAATCTGAATAACTTTTACTTTTAATTTTATGGCATTACAAAAAAAACTGTACATACATACATTCCCCTGTATTTATAAGAACAATTTGTATCTTCATGTATTCCAGTATCAAAATTTAAAACTGCTCCCTCATAAAAATCTTGCTCACCACTGTATTTTATACCAATGTATATAAAGCACAAGATAGCAGACATGCATATTTTCACCCATACTAAAGTCATAAAATTACAATAATCTTTACCATTTATTCCTCCCACATTATGTGCAAGATTAAATCCTCAATCAAAAATTCTAACACAACATTTAAAACATTGTACTATAAGTTTCTTACCAAATGTTATGCTTTTAGCAGGATCAACATAAAGTAAATAAAAGATATAGGATGTAATGAACTTAAGCAGGACAGAAATAAGGTACTTTACAGGGTACTGTGAAACAATGAAAACACCTGACATGTGCAGGCCACTATTCCTTCAAAAAGGCCTTTATAAACTGGAATTTGCAGTTTCCTGAAAGCTGCAATGACATTCTATATAGCACGTCCACAAAGTAAGTTTCTCACTCGTCCCACAGCTAGCAAACCTTATATTGCGCGAAGCGACTGCACGTACGTGATAGAGCAATGACGTAGCATGGTGCATGCACAAAAGGAATTTCCCGCATTCCCACAGTAGCATTGTTGCAGCTGTTGAAGATGGAGGCTCTTATTCCAGCTCCCGCCGACTGTGAAGTGCAGTCAGTGATAAAGTTTTTGAATGCACAGAGCATAGCACTGATCGAAATTCATCGTCAGCTGTGCCGGGTCTATGGGCCTAACGTCATGAGCAAGCAGATGGTGCGTCGCTGGTGCAGACAATTTACAGCAGGTCGACAAAGTGTGCATGATGAGAAGCACAGTGGGCGGCGATCCATCATTACAGACAACCTGGTGGAACTTGTGAGGGAACGCATTATGGAGAATCGTTGTGTCACAACTATGGAACTCAGCAGTCATGTCCCGCAGATTTTCCGCTCCTTGTTGCACGAAATTGTCACGGAGCACCTGTTGTTCAGGAAATTGTGTGCCAGGTGGTTGCCGAAGCAACTGACACCAGAACACAAAGCGCTTGGAAACAGCATTGACATTTCTGCAGCGGTACCATGATGATGGCGACGAGTTTCTGGACTGGACCATCACAGGTGATGAAACATGGATCGCACACATTACCCCAGGAACCAAGCAGCAGTCAATGCATTGGAGTCACAGTGGATCCCCCTGTAAGATGAAATTCAAGCAGACGTCGGCGCGGAAAGTCATGTGCACAGTATTCTGGGACAGATGGGGCATTCTCCACGTTGAATTCCTGACCAGAGGTGAGACGGTGAATGCTGAGCGTTACTGTGAAACACTGCAGAAATTGCGACGGGCCATTCAGAACAAGCGGTGCAGGATGCTTAGTGCCGGCATTGTCTTCCTGCACGATAATGCTAGGCCGCACACGGCTCGACGGACAGCAAGTCTCCTGCAGGAATTCAGCTGGGAGGTGTTTAATCATCCACCCTACAGCCCGGAACTCGCTCCCAGTGATTTCCATCTTTTCCTACACCTCAAGAAATTCCTGTCCGGTGAGCGTCAGCATTTTGAGAATGACAGAGGGGCAGAGATGGTTGTCACACAGGGGTTCCAATCCCAGGCGGTAGACTTGTATGACACAGGTATTCAAAAGTTGGTCCCACGGTATGACAAATTTCTCAATTCCGGTGGCGATTATTTGAAAAATAGCTGAACATGTGCTGTATCTGTTGCAATAAATATTTCCATGAAATTGTTTTGTTTCTGTAAACAGCCCCAGGGAAACTTACTTTGTAGACGAGCCTCGTATTTCTTAATTTTAACTACAGGTCCCTTTCAGAGTAAGTATCCTCTTCCTCCATCTGCTCTGTGAAATTTCTGTAACTTCTAAATAGTCATAAGTATTACAATTCATTTAAACATGTAGATGCTCATCGTTTTTTCTGACAATGCTGCCAGGTACTGGTTATTGTTCACTTGCACTGAACACAAATCTATCACTGGTTGAGATGCTGGACAGCTAAGTACCTGCCGACCTGATGATATACTCCATAAAGCAACACATTTCAAGCTCTCTTGATGAGCTGCAACCAGAGTATCTCCTGGTACAGATACCTGACAAGCTCGTGACAGGAGATTCTGACTTCTACTGCCCTGAAATGTGTGAACAGGATTACATATAAGGCAAGAATCTACACCAGCAGTTACCTCTGGTAGTTGGCACACGATGTGTCGTGAAAGTGGATAACGAACGCTTGGACGTGTTGATATCAGCACATGACCAGAATTTTTATCATAGCATAGTGACACAAATGGTCCATCAAAGGGAAGCTGTGAACCCACATACTCTACATCACGATGTTCATATGCCCAACACGAGTTCAGCCTGCAAGCTAAAAACCCACCTCGTGCTAATGTTCTACCAGGACATGTTGGTACTGCAGCTAATGATGTAACTGGGGATGAATCCTCTGGTGAAGTTATCCTGCATATAGGTCCAGCTGTAGATCTTACATCATACTGGAGGACTGCTCCATTATTTGTGCCAATGAAAAACAAATTTGAATTATCAGCATCCCAACAACAACTCCACAACTGACTGTCTGTAGTATAACTCTGAACAACTGTATTGCTAGCTACGTTAAAAAGTTTAGCACATCGGTCCAGCGACACACTAAGCAACATGTCATTACGCAGTGGATGGAAAGCCAAGTCTCTAATTGCTCTCGGATGCAAGAAAACGAACTGTGTTGGCCGAAACTCCACAGCATCAATTTTCTTAATTCCATAACCAGAAAACAGGGTATTTGTTGAGCGTTGAGACACAATAAGAAGGTTCAGAAACTTGTCATATGCCAACACACGACAGCCACCTTCTCTGCAGATTTCAACACTACGATAAAGAGCCAAATTTTGATGTGATGACTCCTGTGACACGAAGCCACCTACTTGTGTAGACTGTCTTGTGCCACATCCCTGTGTTTCTTGTATCTCTGATAATTTCTGTCGCAATTTTATTAACTGCTGTTGATGCAGTTGCTGATTCAGTTTTGTTCTTGCCAATTCCAATTCTAATTGGTGTTTCTCTCTCTGGACCCCTTCCAGCTCCTCTCGTAACCTGTCTCTTTCTGCAGTATCAAGAACTTGCAATTTACGAGCATAATGTATACGGATCTCCTTCATGCTGGCTTTCTTATTGCACTGTGGACACCTTCTATGCCCTGCTGCACATCCTATCTGCAACCAACGCAAGATGCAGCTGTGACCAAAGAAATGTCCGCATCGCAATGATGCTAGGCGATGACTTCCGGAGTTGCACCATACATCCATGCATATTGGACATGTTCTTCCATCATCACCTTCATTCTCTTCATCAGAGTTTACTTGTTTCATGCCATGACCTGTGAAACGAATTTCATGTTTCATATATTTCATTTTATACATAAGCTTATATGGATACTCCTCATTTTGTGGGGCAGTTGTTAAAAAAAAAAGTTGTAGACAGTGAAATAACATTAATAAAACATAACAAAATAGTGAAGATTCCCTATGTGCTCAAAAACTGACATTAGTAGATGCGCAGAAGAGGTTGCATGGGTAAGCCAAATTTTCCCTTTTCCATTCCCATTCCCACTCACTCACCCACACAATAGTCTACTCCCTTCTCTCTGCCTCTCCTGATTGGCCAGCAAGCAATTCACACTGAAGTGAGTGCTAGTAATTGAAATAAGTCTAAATTAGTTGACCCCATTCAAATGAAATTACATACAATGAGGAGTACCTGTATATGATTCATATGACTTCAACATAATGCAGTTAGATGTACTTATATAATACTAGCAACACACAACCGGGATAGCACAGTTGGTATAGCAACGGGCTAGAGGCTGGACGACTGTGAGGTTGGAGTTGGAATCCTGTTAGGGACAAGAATTTTCACTTCTCCATGTCGCACAGACTGCTCTGGGGTCCACCTACCCTCCTATCCAGTGAGCACCAGGGACTATTTCCCCGGGGGTAAAGCGGCCGGGGCGTGAAGCTGACCACTCACCTCCAACTAGTGCTAAGGTCAAGAAAACATAGATCCATACATATGCCTTCATGGTGTAGGGCTTAACTGGTTAAGCACAGGGACAACTTTACCTTACCTTACCAGTAACACAGCAATTCTTTGTTACTTACACTACTATGCAATTTTTGCAAGATAAGTTGTAGGTACATATTGATTATTAGTCATCAACAAGGCTCATGCATCTGAAAAGCAACAAACGATATTTTAAATATATACAGGCACCTTCACCAAGTCTGATTTACAGAAATATCCAAGAAAGTAAATAAGCATGTTAAGCACATTACATAAATATATACCAAGCAAATCCAAAGTGAAAAGTTACATTATCAACATGAGTGGTTACCATAAAATATATAAAAAATATATGTATATGATATATACAGAGTGCAGCTGCAATGATGCCAGGCATATGTGGTTATGTTCTTCCAGCTGAGAGTAGTTCAGTAAGTAGTTCTATTACATTTGGGGAAAACATTATCAAAATCTAATTACTTGTACTACTAAATTAAACACATTAAACTGAGATAAACATTACAAGTAATACTAGCAAAAATTATTTATGGAGTTACACCAGAGATGTGTGTAGAAACATGTGTTCATTACTGTTATCTGATTTTAATCAGAAATGGAATGTGTAAAATTAGTAAATTCCCCAAACTCAATTTTCATGAAAATCCATTCAACACTTCTCGAGTTATGTGCGTGGGGACAGAGAGATATGGCAAAGTCAATAGGTGCATTTTTTGAACTTCTTGCTTCAAATGCTCAAAAAATTGGTTTAATTATCCCATTTTTCATTGCCTTTACATAATTATTCCTTCTACAACATAACTTAACAAGGACACATTAGGTGTGTATAATTTCCTAGTGCGGGAGCAGTGCATCACGAATTATTATTATTATTATTCTTCCAACAACTTACTTTTCAACTGGTGTTGAGATGTTGGAGGTGATGATTTCTCTTGCTGCATAGAACTTTGATCCAGTACTGCAGCATTAGGTGGAGATGTCATTGGCTGAGAAGCTGCAGATGCAATCTGCAACAGTTGATTGTTGAAATAGTTAGTGTTAAGTAAGTACGAGTACTTCCTACTGGTTATGTCTTGTAACTGACCATCTACACTTATCACAGTAAATCTTGCTACTTCATTACAAGACATATTTTGATTCATCAGCCATCTTCAATACCAAAAGCTGAAGTGTGTCTGCCAAAGAAGTTAAACAAATCCATTGTGATAAGTGTGAATGGTCAATTAGAAGAACCAACCTTGATAACACACCAATACCTCCTGCTGGTTTATTTACACATTAAAACTGTGATATCATTTTATAAGATATATCTTAATTACATCAGGAATATTATATTAATTTTTAGTAACATTTTCTTTTTTCACTAGCTCTACAGCCCTCTTAGACCCTTGCCTCTGATTTTCAGTTTCATGATCATTTTACGTAGGTCATACTGAAAGTCATGAGCAAGGTATTTAGTAAAGTAACATGCTTTATTATTGACAAACCAAATACACCACCTCAGTCTACAGACCTTTCTTTATTTTCCCACATAATCGCCACTGCTTTGTATACATTTCTCCCAGCGTTCTGGGAGTTTGAAAATTCCCCTTCTGTAAAATTCCATTCCAGCCATCCGAAGACACTGACGCACTGCTTTCTGAATTCAGCATGCTTATGGAAGTGTGTGCATGGGTGCGAGCAGTGTTCAAAGATGGGAACACCAGCATTGAAGATGAGCCTCAGAGCAGTCATCCTCGAACAGCCTCAAATGAACGCAACAAGGAAAGAGTGGACGAGATCATTCGAGATTACAAGCGTGTGACTGTGGACACAATAGCCCAAAAACTTGGAATAGGGCACAGTGCAGTACAGGAGATGATTGAAAGCTTGGGCTATAGGAAAGTTTGTGCTTGCTGGCTCCCGCAGTTATTGACCGAAGACCACAAAGGTCACATTCGAAGCAATTCCAAAGATGGGGTGGGAAGTTCTTTCACACCCCTCCTATAGCCCTGATCTGGCACCCTCTGACTACCATCTTTTCGGATTTGTGAAGGATCAGCTGTGTGGACAACGTTTGAGACAAGGGAGGCAATTCGGAAAGCAGTGCGTCAGTGTCTTCAGATGGCTGGAACGAAATTTTACAGAAGGGGAAGTTTCAAACTCCCAGAACGCTGGGAGAAATGTGTACAAAGAAGTGGAGATTATGTGGAAAAATAAAGAAAGGTCTGTAGATTGAGGTGGTGTATTTGGTTTTTCAATAATAAAGCATGTTACTTTACAAAAAATTGTTGCTCATGACTTTCAGTACAACCATCTTATAAATGGTAGCACTCCTTGGACAAGTGACTAGCTTGTCACAAGGCCTCTACCTAAACACAGGACAAGACAAACACAAAATAAATACATACACATACCAAACATCCATGCCTTGTGTGGGATTGGAACCCATGATCCCAGGTTACGAGCAAGCAAAGATGGTACATCCCTTAGACCGGTCAGCTACCATGACCGACTTAGTAATAATATATCAACTACTACAGTAAGAAAGATATATTGGAAATAATGACTGAATAACAGAAAGATTATGAATTTGCTAGAAATCTGGACAAATCTTTAAGAGAAAGCTAGGAAAATAACTAAACACAAAATGACATTTCAGACTGTGGTCTTCTGAATTATGACACCATGTAGCTGGTGATTACCAACACTTCAGGGGAGCCTGCCTGAAGGCAACAGGTTCTTCTGAAACCTGATTACACTGTGTCATAACCCAGAACATCACAATCAAAACCAAACAGTTTTCATATCCATCCAGGTTCCTCATTCCACTTTTACAGTGCGAGCAGCTGACTTTAGTGACCACCATACAGACCGCCTTCAGTCAAAAGGCCTCTGGTGAGACTGAACATCAAAACTATATATATCTCAACAAAAAAGAAAGTCCACTTTTTGAGACCAATGAAAAATGATGACCTTATGGTCCTAGGCATGTACTGTACGCAGCACGAATGACAAGGTGTATGGTGGGCAGACCTGCAGCACTACTGAGACAATGTATAATGACTGTGGTCATCATTTTTCATTGGTCTCAAAAAGTGGACTTTCTTTTTTGTTGAGATATACCGTATTTACGCGTGTATAGGCCGCGTGCGTGTATAGGCCACAGCACAATTTTCAGACAGAAATTATAGAAAAAATAATTTTCTTGGAATATTATTTCAGGAGTAGAAATTATTCCGAAATTTGGCAACATTCATTTTTTTTAAATGAAGTGTGATTTCGAATATAAGCCGCACCCCAGTTTTCCTCTTGAATTTTTGGCAAAAAATGTGCGGCCTATACATGCATAAATACAGTATATAGTTTTGATGTTCAGTCTCACCAGAGGCCTGTTGACTGAAGGCGGTCTGTATGGTGGTCACAATACATACAACTATACCATCCAGGCAAGTCAGATATGACATAGCATCCAATAAACTTCAAGGACACCACATTACTGGCAGGAATGACAGGCTACATGGAATGCGCTATTGAGGCAGCCAATGAGCTCCAGCTGCACCCCAGTAACTTCAACAGAGGTACAAAATTCCTTCCCAGCCATACATGGTACCAGACCACATACTTAAAAGAGCAGCTAAGCGAACTTAAAAAATATTGTATGGAAGACCCAATAACAGGCAACATTAATTCAAATGACTGATCAACTGTTCCCCATGTGGTCTTTGCTTGGACAGGACATCACTGATCTTCTAATTCTGCCCACTGTTCCCCGTGCAGTCTGGATTGAGTTAGACAAGAGCTTTGTGAACACGGATATGCATTGCAAACATAACATTCATCATATCAAACCCTTGATGATGGAAACACAGAGAGTCTGAAATATCCACAATGACTTAGCTGATTGCATGTAAAGACTACACTGTATTACAAGACTGTGTTTCAAACACCAGTCCACATGGTGGGAAGACTTCTCTCAAGGTAACACTCTCTCCACGATTAATTATATAAAACAAAAAAAAAACAAACTCCGTGATTTTAGTCCGCAAGCGAACTATACCAACCGAGCGACCGCTGCTTGTTGGTGAAGTTAGTGCCAACTTTTGCAGATAGAGGGTGTGGCATGGTCAGTTCAACAAATCCCCACAGCTGTTAATTTCGGTTTTCTAGACCGGAGCTGCTATTTCCTTGAAACAGCTCCTCAATTATCATCACGAGGCTGAGTGGACCCCGTTCCAGACCCACTACTTCTCCGAAAAAATGTGGTAGCACCGGGAATCGAACCTGGACCTCTGGATCTGTAGCCAGGAACGCTGACCACTAGACCAAAAAGGTGGTCTTAATTATATAAAATCAATTATAATTTAATATGAATTATACTTTTATAAGCAGAATGCTTTTAGGGAGTCATGGTAGCTCAGTCGGCACAGAGATTAGCTATGAGCTGGATGGCTTAGGTTCCATTCCCAGCAGGGGAAGATTTTTCTCTATACCACAGTGTCGAATGCCAGCTCTATGGCCCACCCAGCCTCTTATACAATGGGCATTAAGGGTTCTTTCCCCACCAACAAAGTGGCGAGGGCATGAAGCTCACCACTCACCTCCATCTAATGATGAGGTCAAGAATGGTTGAACTACACGTCCATGCCCATATATACATTCATGGCATAGTGCTTAATTAATTAATTAATTAAGCACAAGGACAACTTAAAAAAAAATTTTTTTTTTAGAAACACTACAATGAAAAGAAGTTAATATATGTAGGAAACAACTTCTGCAGGATAATGAGACTCATACGAACTTAACTACTTCCCTTCCCATAGTAATATTTTGGGTCTTCAGTTAGTAGAAGTATTTGTTACAGTAAAAATTTTTCCTTCCTTGTAGAGTAACTTCATTATTTTTCCAACATGTGGGGTGACTTTTCATGCCTCTAAATGTTCATCTTTTTATTTGTGCTTTCATTGAAACAAACCTGCACATTGGCACCCTGAACATCGAGTGATGCTTCCTGCCTTTGTATTGGTTGTGCTCCTTCGCCAGTAAGCACTGCATCATCTCCTTCTGGTTCTGTAACACACATAAACCAAAGTGTCAACTAATAAGTATTCATTACAGTTCACCAATCTACTAAAGAAATTATTAGTGATTTTCTATCTTTCATGGGAGCTTGTATCTAATTTCATTTATTTATTTATCTACATTCTTGTTTGATGACACCATGTTGTGGCAGGCTGATTCGACGACACTTCCATTCCCCAAACCTTCGTCAAACTAGTTCATCACAAAATGATATTATTACTAAAGCATAAAAAAAGGGCCAGGAATTAGTATTTTCATTAATGCATTAACACAGCATTTGATATGAACACACGATATTGTCAAACTGTAATATGATTAGTGTAATGGCTGGAAAGGATATAGAACCAAGTGATCATGGACTAATGTGAAGTATTATAGCAGCATTTACCTGGGTAGACTTGACGAACACCATAAAGAAAACTGTCAGATAATCAGTGTCCCAGCCAAGATTCTATCTGGGCACTTCCTAAACACAAATCTGAACCTGCTCATTAAGATATAGCAGATGATCAATTAAGTCAGTGCTGTGGGCTAGAGCAAGACTTCATGTCACTCAAAGCACAACACATACAAGAGGCACTTGACAGCAATAAAACTCTGTGATATTACATAATTTCAGGGTATCAAGAATAAATAAATAATTTCAACACCAACTTTTCAAAGAATTGATACGTACTTAATGGAAAGAGTGTAAGGGTATATGAGAAGCTAAAACCTATTTCAAAATTCTACAAACTTTAATCTTTAGATGAGATTTACAATTTGCGCTTTTATTTTTATATGTATTCTGAGAATGACCTGAAACACTGTAGAAAGGAACTGGAAACCTTGCAATATATTGCCATCACAGAGAATGGCCAATAATAAATATACATTAAGTCTTTAAAGGCAAAAGTTTACTTACATACTTTAAACCAGGTCCCTACCTTAAACAAAACATCTTCACTGATGGGTTAACAGAACTTTACACATAAAAAAAAAATAAATTTATTCTATTTCTATTCCGTCAACCTTCCCCAGAATCAATTTTTGACCAAAACGCCTGAAGAAAAAAAAAGATTTTAGTGAGTAAAGTAACGATTGTATCACATTAGTTTGCGTTTCTTTCAGCGGAGAGTACTCATGCAAAATTAAATTCCAGTTCCGACTGACATGTTTCGTTCATTAACAACCCTTTTAGTACTACTTAAATTTCGAATCCTAATTTATGGATTCTTAAATGACCAAGTACCCAGCTTATTCGCCGTGGTTATTAGCAACGACCATAAATATATTATTACCATATTCCTCAGTTGTATCGGAATCATAATTATGTTCAACAACGTCCATTTCAAACACATCCCTATATTCCATGCGCTAAAATGAACCTAGGTCCTTATTTTAAAGACATCCTAACTTGCAAACACTATCGGCCATTGTGGGAAGGTACCACAGACGCCACGGACGCCACAGACCGTCGTTTTAGCAGTTGAAAGATGTCACTGTCGTTCTACCGTCCGAGAAATCAATGTTTATGAACTCATGGATCAGTAACAATCGTCAATTGTAAACTTTCCTCGCCGAAGAAATATCTTCTTTGGAGATCCGAGATTCTCACGTCGGCGGTCTTCCAACCTGAAGTTGAAGACAGCAAGTTTTTCCGAAACATTAAACTATGTACCAAGCAACACGCGTCACATCACAGAAGACAGGAATCTTAAAAGATTCTCTTATTTTTCTTGGTAGCAGTGATAAGTGCATACCGAAATGAAAGGTGTTATTTTCGCTGCTTATCGAGATGCCACCACAGAATTCTTGCTACATATGTGTAAAAGTGTATGGTTTAAACATTAATTACTGATCGTAGTTGACAAGAATGCCTTATTCATTCAAACATTTTAATATGTATTGTGATCATTCTGTTATCCCACAAAAGAAATGAGAACGTACAGTTGCCATGTATGAATTAAGGTTACCTCTGGCACACGGACGAAAGTGAAAGAGAAAAGAGTCACTTGCGTGCCATGAAGAGAAACTATATTCTTGCATTTACATAGATATAATAGTTTGGAAGAATTTTACAACACTGTGTAGATTTCATAGATCGAAACGGTCGAAACCGTGGCACAATCCAGTATCCAGTAGTACACCTCTGCGTTCCACTAGTCTTTTGAGTCATATGGTACAAAATGGCGTTATGCAATTTCGGTAGCTGGATTTGTGACCACATGTGATACATTTCAAATAGGTAAGATGTATGCATTTTTTGTAATTTTGTTTTAACAACATACCTTGGACTGCATGATACGTGCAGTATGGCACTCTTTGTGCTACTGTTGTTTTTATTCATGATTCCTAAATGATAAAGCCTGTAATTTTATCAGTTGGCTCAATGAAGTGTCGTGAACACTTGATGTGACGTGATAAAACGAGATAAATAACCCAATGAATTGGTTCCAATTTATGAATCTCAAAGTGGGAGGGGATCGAGTTAACCATGCGGAAATAATGGTTTGTGCGTAGCAGTTCATTATGATTATTTGTTGATGAAATGAGCCACACCCTTTCAGGAATATCGTACTGCACCGATATAAACCTCAGTATAACCACGAGTGTTAAATACATTTCTCCTTGTAGGCATGTTGTAATTTCTAGAAGCATAATACAAAATAATTATTTGAGCGAATGTCATTTATATTGCGTACATTACAAATGTAATTCATAGAGTTTGTATTATTGTACCAGTTCACAAGAATGATGATAAACCTGTCCGTAGTAATTATCGGGGGATATCACTGCTATCATCTTCATACAAAATTTTATCAAAATTTCTTCTTTCAAGGTTAAGGTCATACATAGATGAAAATATTGGGGATTGTCAGTGTAGGTTTTGACATAAAAGATCAGCTACTGATCAGATCAGGTACTGGAGAAAAAATGGGAGTACAGTGAGACAGTACATCAGCTATTCATAGACTTCAAGATTTAAATGTGTTTAAAGAAAACATATGGTAAAGTCTGTAGGTAAATATATGTCTGATAATATCCCTATCCAGGATGGTCTAAAACAAGGAGATGCTTTATCATCACTCCTTTTCAACTTTACTTTAGAATATGCCATTGGGAAGGTCCAGGGAAACCAGGTGGGACTGAAATTAAATGGAACACGTCAGCTGTTGGTTTATGCTGATGATGTGACTCTACTGGGTGATAATATAGATACCGTAAAGAAGAACACACAAACATTAATTGACGATAGTAAGGAAGTTGGTCTAGAAGTAAACACAGAGAAAACTAAGTATATGTTGCTGTCTCATCGCCAGAATGCAAGGTAAAATCATAACATAAAGATAGGTAACAGATGTTTTGAAAATGTGGCACAGTTCAGATATTTGGGAATGACGATAAAAAATCAAACCTGATTCAGGAGGAAGTTAAAAGGAGATTGAACTCAGGTAATGCTTGGTACCATCCAGTCCACAACCTTTTGCCATTTTGTCTGCTGTCCAGAAACATACTTACTCATGGAGCTGAGCCCTTCTGGAGGAGCTGCCAATTCTGCAACTACGTGTAAACATAAGAAGCGGCACACACACAGGGAGACTACACAGAATAACACCTATACAGTACTAGAAACAAGAAGAAGCCGCTGCAGCACTATAGACATAGGGCGAGTAACCCTGACAATTTGAATTTTAAAATTTAGAGAAAAAAAAAATTTAAAGGAGCTAAAATTAGAACTGAAGATTTTATAAGTGCTAATTCAGAGAAATCAAAATTGACGTGTGTAAATAACAAAGATATCAGTAAAGTAGATTTTGGTAGTAACAACGAAAAGAACAATCAGGAAGACCTATGTTCTTAAATTTTAAATGTTATTTTAAGTGCAGTGTAACAGATACGTGTGTATACACCGTTTGGGGCCGAAACATGTAGTGTATAAAGGAAACAAAACGAAAGACCTATAATATATAGTTTGCACTTAGGACGGACTTATATCATATATCATACAGAGGGCAACAGGATGCTTCAGTATAATATTGTACACAAACTTTAATTGACACAAGTATGGAGGTTGGTGTAGAAGTAAACACAGAGAAAACTAAGTATATGTTGCTGTCTCGCCACCAAAATGCAGGGCAAAATCATGACATAAAGACAGGAAACAGATGTTTTGAAAATATGGCACAGTTCAGATATTTGTGGACAATGATAACAGATCGAAACTTGATTCAGGAGGAAATTTAAGAGGACATTGAACTCGGGTAATGCTTGCTACCATTCAGTCCAGAACCTTTTGTCTTCTCATCTGCTGTCCAAAAACATAAAAATTAGACTATACAAAACTATAATTTTGCCTGTGGTTCTGTATGGGTGTGAAACTTGGTCACTGACATTAAGGGAGGAACACAGACTGAGGGTGTTTGAGAACAGGGTGTCAAGGAGAATATTTGGACCAAAGAGAGATGAAGTGACAGGAGGTTGGAGAAAACTGCATAATGAGGAGCTTCATAACTTCTACTCTTCAAGTAGATGATCTACTACTACTAGAATGATCAAATCAAGGAGGATGAGATGGGCAGGGTATGTAGCACGAATGGGGGTAACGAGGAATGCATAGGGAAAGCCAGATGGAAAGAGGCCAGTGGGAAGACCAAGGCATGGGTGGGTGGACAATATTAAAATGGATCTCAGAGAGAATGGGATGGTATGGATTTGATTGATCTGGCTCAGGATATGGACCAGTGGTGGGCTCTTGTGAAGATGGTAATAAACCTTTGGGTTCCATGAAATGCTGGGAAGTTCTTAAGTAGCTTGCACACTTGGCGGCTTCTCAAGAAGGGCCCAGCTCCATGAGTGAGTTACAGAAATTTTACATATTCTGTTCCTAGCAGGTGGAGCCACTCTGTTAATTTTGCCAGGAAGTGTAGGATATATCACTGACACATACATAGAAGGATTAATCTCTAGCATATGGAGACATTGGCCAGCATTGACCTGTTTTGACTGTTAGGCTTTATTTTTTCTCAAGTAATGCAGATCTAATAGTAAATTTTGAGTTACAGTTTTTAAAATGAACTTCTAATGTTGACTTTTATGGGGGCATCATAAAAGTCACTTGGTTTCATGAAGAATTGACCCAGGTTGTGATATCTTAGGTAAGCTATAGCCTCACAATCACGTAAGATGTGTGTGTCTGATTCATCTTCTTGTGGGCACCTTTCACAAATTGGGTCATCTGTCAGTCCCAGTTTGAAAAGGTGCCCTTTTAGGTGGCAGTGTCCAGTAAGTAATCCTACCGCCCATCTGAGTTGATCTCTGTTTAATTTTAACAGGTCCCTCGTTCTTTTGGCAGAGGGTCCTGATGTAAATCCATTTGTCTGTTTACTGTCTGCGCAAGCTAGAATTTCCGCAAAGTGCAGTTTCACTGACAAAAGGAACAACTCATTTCAGATTTTGGCAGTTTACTCACCAGATTTTGGCTGTTAGTAACCTGTCTGAAGAATCTTTTAAAAGAATAGGTGAGTGTAATGTTCAGAACTATGTTTATACTATTATTTTGTATTAATGAGTGACAAATCTATTGTTTTGCATGTTGTTGATATCATTTTCACAATTTGTTCTTACTAGTTCACTACAGAACCTTTCCTGTCATATGATCTGCTTTCTTTACATCAAAGTGCCAAAACAATTGTGTGCTAATGTTGTTAACATGTTGGATATGTTGATGATGAGTTAATGGTGGAGAGCTGCATCTTGTATCTCAAATGTGTCTGGGCTTAGTGTCAGTCTGTTATATATGTGAATTGTTGCTTGACGTATGTCTTGCTCTTGGTAATATGATAATATTTTTGTGTTTTCATTATTTAGGTCTATGGTATTTGGTTATATGACTTTATTTAAAATTATTATGTTTAGATATTATGTATACTTAGCTTTCTGACAAGCTGAATATTTTATTCTTTTATTTCAAGGCAAATGGAATTGGGATAGCTCAGTTGGTGTAGCAGTGGGCTACAGGTTTGACAGCCAGGGTTCAATTTCTGGTAGAGGCAAGAGATATTTCTCTTCTCCACAGTGTTCAGATTTCCTCTGGGGCCCACTCAGCCTCCTATTCAGTGGGTACTTGGGGTAAAGCAACCAGACTGTGTAGCACACCTCTCACTTCCATCTAGTGCCGAGGTCAAGAATAGTGGAGCTATAACTCCACTCCCCTATACATCTTTATAGCATGGTGCTTAATAAACACAGGATCAACTTTACCTTACCTTTATCTCAAGGCAGATAGTATTCAAATGCATATATTTATTCTCTTCATATATGAAGTTTGATTCCTGGCGCTACCAGATTTTCTGAGGAGTAGTGGGTCTGGAACGGGGTTTCCTCAGCCTTGTGAGGATAATTGAGGAGCTATTTCAAGCAAATAGCGGCTCCGATCTAGAAAACCGAAATTAACAGCCATTGGATTTGTTGCGCCGACCACACAACGCTCTCTATTCGCTAAAGTTGGCACTAACTTTGCCGACAAGCGGCGGGTGCTCAGTTGGTATAGGTTGCTTGTGGACTCGAACCATGGAGTTTTTTTTAATATGAAGTTAAGTGTAGATTTAATACTACTGCAGTTTCGGACAAAACTCTTTTTCATAAGCTACTTATTTGGAACACCTTCAGAAAACAGTTACTATGTTAGTCTTGCTCTGAAATGCTACAACAGTAACAATAATTCATTTATGAATTTTCTTGCACCATACTAAAACCCCATCTGAAACAGTGACATCACAATAAAGACTAACAAATGTTAAGTATATATAATGATTGCTAAATTATAGATAAAGTACATAAGAGGTTCTTTTTCTGCCATATCCTGAAGGGTAGCTACTTGTTCTTTGCATATCGGATGGGTCATTACTGAAGAGAAAATGTAAATGAAATGATTAGGCATTAATAGAAAAGAAATTAGTTAGTCACCAGTCCAGCCTTCCTCTGCTTTGTACACAAATCATTCAGTTTTGATTCATATGGTCATATTTGTTTGAAAGAAGATGACATACATCATCAGCATACTCAAGGTCTCACAGTAAGTTCATCCATTTCCATGCAACTCCTCTCATTTTGTCATTCATAATTCTTTTTGAAATCCTATCCAGGAGTAGGAATAGTAGAGAAGATAGGAGACAATCCTGCCTAACCCCAGATGTTAGAAATGGTTCTGACAAATGCCCATGTTCGTCAGTGTCTTGTGTGTATTTAATACAGAAATTTTTCTCTTAGGTCCAGTTCTGAAATAATTATATTTGTCTGATATTTAAAAATGTAAAAGAAAAACATGTTTCCAGCAAGATTAAGGAACCCACAGCATTACTGGGTATTTGGACTTTTCCCATCATCCAGAATTCTAGGAAATAGAAAACACGATATTTTGGAAACTGGATCTGTTTCCGTCTTCAGGTGAGGAAGGAAGACAGAAACAGATCCAGTTTCCAAAATATCGTGTTTTCTATTTCCTAGAATTCTGGATGATGGGGAAACGTCCAAAAACCCAGTAATTCCATGTGTTATCCACCATCGTCAGAACCCTTTAGAATCAAGATTAAGGAAGTTGTCTAGAAGTAAATGCAAAGAAAAGTAATAATATGCTCATGTCTAGTTTCCAGACTCTAGGATGAAATTGTAATTTAAAAGACAGCCTCATAAGTATTCACATTGTGTCAGAATGAAAATATTTGAAAATGGCTAACACATCAAAATTACATTTTTTCACAAAATTAAGAGCAGATTAAATTTGTTTAATGCTCGCTACCATCAAATTCAGAATTGTCTTCTAGTTGCCTACCCAGATACCTGAAAGTATGTGAAAACATAATTGTAAAAGCTGCAGTGTGCACAGACATATAATGTGTTGTATGCATAAATAATCTATTTGAAGTTATTCAGAATATCATATAAAACTGAAGAATAAGTATTCACATTGTGTCAGAATGAAAATATTTGAAAATGGCTAACACATCAAAATTACAACTGAATATATGTTGACTGAATAATATATGTTATATTTTTAATCTGAACATGGAATATTATCTTCATGAAGAAACCAGCATTGTAATACATCCAGAATTTGAGGAAGTGGAGCATGTTAGTGTCATAAATAAACATTTACAGCCGGGGGGATGGGTAGGAGGCTAAGAGTTCCTCGCTGTAAAAAACCAGCATGTTACAAAATGTTACATGGATCATTGGGCATATTTTTAGGAATGACCTAAACAGCAGAAAATGGATATGAGATTTTGAACTGGTAAATTCAGAAGTCTTTATAAGTCAGGTTAGTTTTGAAAAAAGAGAATTAACAGAACATAAGTTAGTTATAATGGTGAGTACTGAGGTAAGATGGGGGCACGCAGTATCATAGTTGGTTGAGGCACTGTGCTACAGGCCAGAAGGTTGTGGATTGAAGTCGCAGTGAGGTGGATTTTTTCAGTTGACCTAATCCTTTCAGCCACACTATGGCCCTGGGGTCAACTCAGTCACAAACAGAAATTGGTACCAGTAATCTTCCTGGGGGATAAAGGGTAGCTGGCGCATATGGCTGACAACCTCACTGCCATCTGTGAGCCGACTGTATAGAGAAAATGTAAGAACCTCAACATCTCACAACCATGTGGACCTTTGCAGTCTGTCACGGGGCTAGCTTTACCTTTACCTTGCTGATATTACATAGGACTAGGGTGACATTAGATCAGCAGACAGTTTAACACCTTTCTGTGGAAATGAAAACGCTGAACATCACTCAGGGGAGAGATTTTTTCAAAACAAGGGAAGTGTATCAGCAGTTAGGAGTGTTGTGTTTGGTGTTGGTGGGATTTGTGTTTAATACTGAGAGGTTCTTAGTGTGATAACAGTTGTTTTCAATGCACATGTCACAACTGAAGATAAAAGTTAAAACACGAAAAAAAAAACTTTTATGACAAACTGGAGCACATATAAGATCAATGTCCATAGTAAAAACTCCGTGGCCTTTACTCCGTGGGCAAAGTATACCGACCGAGAGATCACCACTTGTTGGCAAAGTAACACAAAAAAAAAATTCTTGTGAAGAACTGGAGCATGTATAAGATCAATTTCCTTGTCCATGATTTATGCTAACCGTCTTATAGTGCACACAATTTTTCACCTTACTCTTCTCTTTTGCACTACATGTTTCAGCGCTAATGTGCCATCTTCAGGTGCGTTTTCTCTATGCATATCTAACTACTGCATTGAATGCCCTGATGTCTTCCTACTAAAATGACTAAAATACATATTCGTCATGTATAATAATAGATTTTAAATATTAAAACTCTTCAGGATTCGTCATCCTTACGTCGTATCTCAATATGCGGATCACGCCAATCCTCCTCTGTGGCAACACACTTCCTACATTCATGTGTGTATTGTGCTCTGTGTTGTGTCTTGCTTCTGTGACCGCTTATTCACATGACTCAGAGCTACAAGTACTTACAACATTATCACTGATTTCCACACTTTACAAATCACTACACGGTAAGTCTTCTCCAGCCTGCAGTGTCTTCACTAGTTTTTCCTTGGTAACAGCTCTCAACAGTGTAGATTCTTCGGACCTTCTGTTATCATTACTGTCTGGCAAATATCCCACAACTGTACGCTCAACTGAAATATAGCACTGTCTCTTCACAGCCTCCCTTGCAGAACTCAGCTCTTAACTGACAACTCATTTGCATGGATCAAGTAGAAAACATCGTTTCCAACAGTATCTCTGTTGTTGTAGGTGCATGTTTACCATGCTATTGCATGGCAACGACTGTTATCTCGTTATTTGTTTTGAGGTCTTTGCCTAGCAGTGAGTCTGTACGCCACAATGTACATACGTTTCTGTATGCAGCAAATGTATAGGCCCTACAATTAAAAGTACAGGCATATTGTTATGAGGGATGGCACTGCAGTGTGCTGCAAGTTGATAAATGACGATATTTCACGAGCACTTCTAAATACTTGTCTCAAATGGCCATAGATATGCCTTGTGGTTGTAATTAATTATTTATTTTTGATAATATTGATACTGTTTCTAGTCTTGGCTTTATTAGAAGTATTTGGTTCATTGATAGTATTCTCTTTCATGTGTAGTTAATGAATTTCTAATTTGTAATTTCTGTCACATGTCTGCAAACCCGTTACACACGGGTAAGTAAGTATGCTGCAGTATGAGAATATGGGTCTTTTATGGTGTTAATTTTCGTTAGTCTTTCCATTTTCTAAAAATTTGAATTATAGTCTTACCTGTTAGTTTGTTTGGGTATGAAGTAAAATCACTAAAGAAAGAACATAAATTAAGGGTGATAAAATCTTCTTGGCCTATCTACCACGTCATTTTGGTTAAAAATTACCAATGTCTTCGGGAACCATTTTTGTCCACATTAGACCCTAATGATGGGGACAGAGATGGCCCCTGGAATGTTGGTAATTTTTAATCTACTGACATGGCTGATAGGCCAAGAAGATTTTATCATCTTTAGCTGCTGTGGAAGCTTCAGACTGTAAATTGAGTGTGTTTGAAAACAGGAGACTGAGGAGAATATTTCACCAGTGTGAGAGGAACTAATGAATGAATGAATGAATGTATAAGGGGTGGGCCTTCTCAGCCCTTGCACAGCGACCTACAGTAGTCTGTTGTGCTTCCCCTTTTGATTATCCCCTGAGCAATCCTGCGCTTCAAATGAAGCGCAGGATTTTGTACGTGGGGGCATCAAAATAATCACTTGGTTCTATAAAGTATTGACCAAAGTGACGTAATGTTACATAAGCTAAGGCCTCACATTCACACAGGATAAGTGTGGCTGTTTCATTTTCTTCCTGGCACCTCTCACAAGTGGGACTGTCACTTAGTCCCAGTTTGAAGAGGTGTCCTTTAAGGTGACAGTGTCCTGTAAGTAGTCCTACCACCCATCGTAGCTGGTTCCTGTTGAGCTTCAACAGTTCCTTCACTCTTTTATCAGAAGGTCCTCGTATGAGTCCCTTAGCTTGCCTGAGTCCAGTTAAGGATTCCCAGTATTTCTTATGTTTTATGTTAGTCCGGTCCCTGATTGCCTGTTTGCCAACTTCAAGAGAGATGTCACAGGCTGGTTCAGGTCCTATGAACGGATGTTCAGTTCCAGTCTTGGCCAATTGGTCTGCTATTTTGTTTCCAGCAACACCCTCATGCCCCAGCACCCATATCAGTTGTACCCTGTTATGTTTGGCCAGTTCCATGAGAGTTTGGTGGCAATCCCAGACCAATTTTGAGTTGGTCTGGTGTTTGTCAAGCACTTTAAGTGCAGCCTGGCTGTCAGATAAAATGTAGATGTTCTTATTTCTGTAATTCCTATCAAAATTCTCCATAATACATGCCTTAATGGCATATATAATACTTCTGCCTGGAATACTGTCGTGTACTGCCCAAGGCTGAAACTAAGTTTCCACCTCGTGCCATAGCAGTACACACCAGCTCCAGTGCCCTGATTTGCCTTGGAACCATCTGTATACCAGATCAGTCCCCCCTTTCTATCGGGCCAAAACCCATCTTCCCAATCACTCCTGTCAGGAAATCTGACTGAAGGGTTTTTCATATACATGTCTCTGTATCATTTTGTCAGACCCCATTTGTAATATGGGTTCATTTCATGTCCTGAATTATGTATGCATGGCCGAAACTATCAGATCTAGGTTTCCATTGATCACTGCACTGGAGACGGTAGATTCCTGCCTTGGCCTATGCCTCCAACTGTAGATGCAGTGGGGGGAGTCCAAGGAGTATCTCCAGTGCAGCTGTTGGAGATGTTCGAAATGCTCCTGTAATACCTAAGCAAGCTAACCTTTGCAATTTGCCAAGTTCTGTCTTGCTTGTCTTGAATTTAACTCTGGGCCACCATACTGTGACACCATAAGTAATTATAGGTCTCACAACCGCAGTATATATCCAACGTACAACGTGTGGCTGCAGTCCCCAAGTTTTCCCAAACATGCCCCTGCATGTCCAAAAAGCCTTATAGGCTTTGTTAATGACTTTGTCCAGCTGCTTTTTCCATATCAGTCCCTTGTCTAATATTAGACCAAGGTACTTGACATCGCTGGAGAGCTTGATTGTGTTATTGAAAAGGGTCGGTTCCTTAAGGCCATTTATAGGTCTGTTCCTAGTAAACGGTATAATTACTGTCTTATTAGGAATGATGGAAAGACTTGTTCTTTCACACCATCATTGGACCATGTACAGAGCTGTTTGAAGACACTCTGATACTGTCAAAAGGACTTTTCCGTTTATGAGGATTGCTATGTCATCAGCATATCCTACTGTATAATACCCATCATCATTAAGTCCCCATAGGAGATCATCAACGACCAGGCTCCACAATAGAAACGAGAGCACGCCCCCCTGTGGATGCCCCCAGGGTTTCTCCTGATAGTGTGGCAGCTATGGTTTTGCTTTCCAGCATAGCACTGATCCACCTGCATATTGCAGGCTCTGTGTCATGCTTTCCCGTGGCCTGTCTGATTATATCAAATGAGGTTCTATCAAAAGCTCCCTCTATGTCAAGGAATGCTCCTAAGGCAATATCCTTGTGTTCAGTCGCACTTTCTATGCATGTTACCATGTTGTGTAGTGCACTTTCAGTAAGTTTACCTGTTTGGTAGGCATGCTGCTTTCAGTATAGAGGATATGTCCTCAGCGCCCCGTCCCTGATATGCTTATCCACTATTTTCTCCATCGTTTTCAAAAGGAAAGATGACAGGCTGATAGGACGATAAGCCTTAGCCTTGGTGTAATCAAGTTTCCTGGGTTTTGGGATAAACGTCACCTTAACTTGCCCCAGGCCATGGGGATAAAACATATGCCATGCAGGCTCTATAATGCGGCATAAGTGTGGAACTAAGAGTTCTGTCCCATGCTGCAAAAGTGCCGGTACAATTCCAGTTGTTCCCGCTGACTTAAATGGTCTAAAGATATTCAGTGCCCATCTGATTTGAGAGGAACTAACATAGACATATTAGAGAAAATAGTATTAGAATGAATCTAAAGAAATAGAATGTAGACAGGATTCATCTGGCTGATAATAGCACTCAGTGGTGGGCTGTAGTGAACATGATAATGAACCTTCAGGTTTCATATTAGGCAGGGAATTTTGTGACCATCAGAGATACTATTAACTTCAGCATCAAAAATTATGAGGTGTTCAGAAGTTAAGTTACATTCTGAGTTGGTGTGTTAAGAGAATTTTACAGTTTACAGTAACCCATGGCATAATGTGTGTGTGTGTGTGTGTGTGTGCGTGCAAGATGGAGTATTGCATCATTTAAGTAGAATGCTCTAATTTTATGTCAACATATTTAACTTCAAAGATAGCTTTAAAAAATACAAGAGAAACTGTGAAACAAATTTATTCTTCCTCGTGAATCTTAGAAATTATGTTTTATTGTGTATTCTTTTCTGGTGTAATATTTGAAATTATCCAGATACAGTACAATATAGTAATAGATGATACATAGAATGTTATTTATTTGTTCAAGAAATAGTTGTGTGCAAGTAGGAAGCAAATAATTACCAGTCTGCTGAGGTCATTGATGTGAGTTGAAATAGACATGAGTCTGAAGAGGCTATATTACACTACTCAAAAATTTGAAACATTGTAAGGCTGGTGTGTCATTGGATGAAACCCTTTGAGTAGAGCAATTTCAAGAAACTCTTGGTACATTTTGAAGGAGATTTTTAATGTGTTGTTGGTAGATTCATTGTTAGAAATTACTGACAGTTTTGTATTCCATTCGTTATTGAATACAGCTAGAAGTAAGTTAAATTAAAACTTTATATTTTATCCTTTAAAATGTTGAGCCTAGTTGACATCTTGCTAATTTATATGTAGTGTAATGTGGCCTTTAAGTAACTTACTCCATACTAAATATAGCCTGGGCTACTTCCAAACCTTCCTCAAACTGCCCCCTTCTGGTAGGACTCATAATTAACTTGGATATATGCCAAGTTAAGGAACTTCCAACATGGTGCAGGCAAAGTCTTAAAATAGCAATTACAATTTTTTAACTTCTGCTGGGAAATAAAAGTCCAATTACTACATTAAATTGACAGTCAGTATTTTAAACTCACATACAGAAATTTACTTCCCTTCTTGAAAGTTTACTTTTAATATTTCTGTTACAAGATACATGAGCATTCTAATTATTCTTGTATGTTGTAACATTTGATCTTACAGTAGAAGCACATGGAAACAAACTATAACAGGAACTGTGTAGGAGTGTAACTTGTCATTGATGATGTGAAGTTAAGTGTTGGAAGAAGATTTTTTGTTCGAGTTAGTGCTAATGTTTGGGAATATTCACTGAACTCGCTTTTATTTTGAAGGGTACTGTAATCTGTTAAAAGAGAAGTTTTCAAGATAACAAAAAGAGCTACATCAAGGGATCATTGGTTGAAGACATCTTTTTCTAGATGGTCATCCATTATGTAATGTCTCAATCTACTTACATTTTGGAGAAGTGTGCTTAGATATTTTTGGGTAATGTGTCTCCAGGGGATGGTGTGTGTACTGGGAGAAGAACGTGCAGTATGCATTATTCAAGATCTTTCAGCTGCTACAGCTGGCGCCAAGAGCACACTCTTACTACCTGCTTCGACTACAGTCCAGGATTTGTTTCAGACAGTTGGAAAAATATTCCAATATGATCCAGAAAGTTTTGAGCTCATCTTACAACGCACTTCTGATACAGAATCGGTTAGCTTCTAGTAGGTTACACACATAGAACCTCTGTTACCCAGGCATCAACTGTGTAAGAAACCTGTACCTGCTTTAATACATGTTTTGGTTCTGTTTGTTACATAGTTTACTTTAAGAGAAAATTGTCTCTATATTAAATTTATATTATTTTAATTCAGTTTTATTCTGTATTTCATAAATTTTTAGTAGGTAGATTCAAATTTTGTTCAGAACTTCGTTTTTATTCATAAGTGAGTTCACTCACATTTTAGCTGTTGCTTCTTACAGACACAGTTTTGAAATTCAGGCATGTGTGATATTCTGTGAAACATAATAAATTTTGAGCAGTGGCTATAAACTCTCTTATATTCAATGCAGTATTATCATCTGTTTTGGAAAATATCTGGGGACATTCCCCAGATGTGTCAGAAATTTGGAAATTATGCAGTATTCTTATTAATGTATTACAGTACATTGGATTATCTGGGTCTTATGTTTCTTTCTCTAGGTTCATCTGTGTGTATGTAATACCAATGAGGTCATTGAATTTTCTTCACTTGACCTAATCCTTCCGGCTGCACTTTGGCCCTGGGTTTCACTCAGCCTCTAACAGAGATGAGTACCAGGAATTAAATAAGTAATTTTCCTGGGGAGTAAAGCGTGGCCGGCACGTAAGGGTGACAACCTTACTGCCATCTTTGAGCTGATTGTCTAGATAATGTGGGACCCTCACCGTCTCACAGCCCTATGGGCCTTCATGGCCTGTTACAGGGATAGCATTACTTTACTTTACTTTACTTTATATGTAAGTTGTACAAACTCATGCCATGTGGTAAAAGTGAATATTGCCTACCTTCAACATTTAGTAATTACATTATCAAACAACATAAACTCTTTCATGTATGATATCCATATGTCTGCCATCTTGCTGCAGAAAACAGCTCTGGACACTAAATAAGCACATTTTAAACTCCTTTGGAATGAGTTTTGGAACTGCTTACTTACGTGTTTCTATAACTCATGTGTTTAAGTTCTGTAGTCATTTACAATTTCTTCGTGTTTTAACAAATTTAATACCTCCTTGTTTAAAAAGTGGTTATATGCTGTGCGATATTAATGGGTTTTGTTTGATAAATTGTGGATCTCCCCCATTTGGTAAATTATATGATATATTACCATATGTAATGAATTTGTATGTGTTATAATCTTGATGTGGGGTTGCATCATCATGTTAACTATATTGAAATGGATTTCACATGATTATTTTGTCACTAAGGTTTTGGATATTGTAATGAATTGGATAACAGTCTTGCTGCATATTCTCAAGAGCTCAAGGGTCAAAATCTCAGGCCCAGAGAGCTGCTATCCTGAGGTTTTTCCTCCCCCCACCCCAATCTCTTCAGGCAATTGCCAGGGTAGTATCTTAAATTAGACTTCATCCTCTTCCTTCACGAAGTACCGTACTAAAAATGGTAAAGCTATCGCCGTCACACGCTGTGGAGGCCCATAGGGTTGTGAGATGTTGAAGCTTCCACATTTTCTAGACAGTCAGCTCACAGATGGCAGTGAGAGTGTCAGCCTTACATGCAGCAGCCCTTAACCCCCAGGAAGTTTCCTGGTACTCAATTCTGTTATAGGCTGAGTTGACCCCAGGGCCATAGGGATTAGGGCAGTTAAAAATACAGTGACCTCATCAGGAATCAAACCGTCCACCTGCTAGCTTGTAGCATAATGTCTCAACCAACTACGCTACCATGTGCCCCTAATCACCCTTGCTATTTGATGACATATAGTCTGAGCTACTGACAGCATTGTTACGTAAACAGAAATAAATAGATACAATCATGAAGAGAATGAGACAGTGTATCAGAATAGACCAATACTGCTTCTTGTCCCAACTCTGCGCATTGTTCAAAAAATCTCCATACTAATAAATACGGGAGTCCCGAAGAAAGCAAGCATACTCTTGATGACAAAGTACATTGAAGTAATTTATTTGAACTCATAAGATGTTTCTGTGCATTATATAAAGTGTGCAGCATATTTAGTATGGAGCAGTAAGATAACTTTTTCTGGAATCTTCTTTTGTCTTGTTTTGTAATGAGATCTTGAACATGCTTGCAAAGTGTCATGATGGAATATCATAGTATGCTACATAATACTGTGCTATGACAGCTGGAGGCAGAAATAGTGGAGCCAGGAAAGACGATCATTGCTAGGCAACGGCTCTGTAAGCACCTCTTCTCAACTTAGCAATAGCAACAGCTGTGTCTTCATCATTCTGTTTTGCTGTCAGCTTATCTAATAGGCTAGAATTTTCTTGGACTTCTTCCTGCAATTGGAATTAATCTTTTTTAAAATTAATTCTAATGTGAGCAGATATATTTTCAAGATTATGGTCTTCTGGGATATGATGTTATGTAGTTTGATAAACGAATACCATTGTTTCATAGGATTCTGCCTCTTCCATCTTCAGGTCAGAAGAGTGACTTCCATCTGGAAGAAGGAGGCAGGTTCCCTTGAAATATTGGCACCAATTTACCAAACTGCACAGTGGAACATCCCAGAAGACCTTAATCTTGATATTTACCATTGTGAGAATTTCAGATCTTACAAATATCAGTATACTGTGCTGTATACAGTATAACACACACAGTCACAGGAGCAAGACACAACAAAAGCACAACACACACACGATAGTGAAGGAGTGCTCCAACAGAGGAGGATGGGCGTGACTGGCGTAGTGAGATGCGACGTAGCGATGAGGAATCTTAAACAATTTTAATATTTTTAACGCTTGACATTTGTCAATATATATGATAGATATATATTTTAGTTATTGTAATGTGAGGACAAGGCATGCAATGAACTAGTTTGGCGTGGATTGAGTAAGCACCAGACGATGGCATTTTTATGCCGAAACATGTAGTGCGAGTGAGAGAAGGAGATAGATGAGTGTATGCACTGCAAGATGGTTTAAATAAATCATGGACAAAAATTTTCTCATTTTTAGGTTATCCTTAATGAACATAAGGAGAAGACCATTGTTGCAGTGGGTGTGAACTTTGAGCCTGGAACCCGTAACACAATCATAATTACAAACATGCCAACTGCTCCAAGATGCAAAGTGGTTCCAGTATCTGTAGACGGTGAAGATGACATGCAGTTGGGAGCTTCAGCCAGTCCTACAGCCATAACAGACTATGCACATCCTCCACCTGCACCCCCTCCTCCACCTCCTGCTGTTGGTAGTGCAGAATACTCATATGCGACTGCCCTGATCAAGCATAACACAGGTACATATAAGTGAATTGGCTGTGTTTTGAAATGAAGAGAATGTTATATTGAGAACCCCTCCCAATGAACCTTCTTGCTTGGATCATGATGTTCTTTACAGTGTATACTTCAGTTGTGTTAATCTGATGTGTAATGTTCAGTCCAAATACCAGTTGTCCCATAAGTCTGAATACTAATGTAGTTATTTTCTGCTTTCATGTTAGATGCATAATATTGTCATGTTTGAAGTGATTAGACACGAGGTTTGGCTTGATAATTGAATTTATTGAACACTTATAACATGTAACTGCAAGTAACTATAACAATGTAGCTAATCTGCACACTTAACATGTCACTACCGTGCGTGTTAAGTGTCAGGCTGTTATAGTCTTCGTTAGTCATTGCTTGGTAGTGGTGTCTAACAGTGCAACTCCTCTGCTTCCAGGCTCATGTTGTTGCCATCTGGCAACCATCTCACAACTACTCATGACCTCCTAGCCATGTCTAATCAGTGTTACGATTGATGGTCAGTCAGTCTGTCTTGGTGTGGAGCACCCATCTGGGGCCCCAAGGCCAGATTTTTATTTCTGTCAGAACGGTTTACGTCCCTATTATATAGCCTTGGCATATACTGTGTAGAAAATGCCATGTTGCATAGCAGTGGCCCAGTAGTTCCTCTCTTGTTGCGTGCGGGTTTGTTGCTATGAACATGTATTTATGATGCCATTGCCTAGGAACATCCATCTCTTCTTGGACCACCATTCCAACCTTCTGCCCTCATGTCACAATGTTTTATTTTATTGACTCTTAGGGCTGGTTATTATGTATTATGTTTTTGTTCTGTGTTTTTGTGACATGACACCTGAAAGCCAGAGTAGACATTCATTGCTAGGCAACAACTTGGTAAACAGGTTCCCACAGAAATGACTATGCACATAGCAATAGAAGAACAGCTGTTTCTGTGCAGTGGTAAAATAAACACACCTCTGTAACAATAGAGGAATTGTTAGGAAGTGGGGTTTTCTGTTATAGTCGCTCTGAGGCTATATAACAAGGATCTCAGGCAGCTGAAATAGAATTGACGGTGTCTCAGGATTGGGTAGTCGAAAGTGATTGAAGATAGTTGGCAATTGCAACAGAGAATTGTATTGAGATTTCTGGAGTTGGCAGTTGGCAGATGATGGAGGAGTCAAGCAAGTTCAGTAGAGGGTTGAAAGTCTGGCAGTGAAGAGAAGTCTTTATGTGTGCTGTAGTGCAGTAATATATTGAGTGTGTGATTCAGTGAAACTGTTGTAGTTCTTGTGTTAAAATCCGTTGCCAGGAAATGGCTAGTGGAGACTAATAGACTGAGGACAGTAGTGTGTGTGTAACAACGAACTGTGAAGTGTGTAGATCAGCAGTAATGCCATAATTATGTGTAGTTTGGTGTGTTGTTGTGTACAGGTGGTCAATAAATCCAATCATCCAATCCAAACCCCATCTGTAGCTACACCTACAACTGACATTACTAACTTCTAATATAGGCCGCGCCATAGCTCAAGCGGTTAGTCACTGGCTTCCCATCGCAGTGGCCCGGGTTCGATCCCGGGTCTGGTCAAGTGGGATTTGTGGTGGACAAAGTGGCGCTGGGGCAGATTTTCTCCAAGTACTTTGATTTCCCCTGCCAATCTTTATTCCAGCAATTGCTCCACAATCACCCTCACCTATCATCTGGGACTGGTACAATAGGCCAGAAGTGGCTACAGTGCAAGAGACTTAGTCCCACCCCACTAACAATAAAAAAAAAACTTCTAATATATTTCTGTGATAATATTGTATCATGTCATCCTGTTGTACTTCACTTATTCCTTGTTAGTTATTAGCCATCTGACATGCAAGTTTCTAAAACATTTAAAACTTTAAACTCTCTCCTGTATCACTGGTATATGCACACTACAGGTTTTGACCAGCATTGGTCACCTTTATGTGTCTCTAAAATTGCTGATAAAACTGTTGTGCTTTCATCTGTAGGTTCAGTTCTTGGGGTATGTCCTCGCCTATGAGTCCATGTATTCTGTGGTAACGGGTAGTGTTTCTTATTGTGTCATGTGTATCTGTTATGTTTCTTAAGGTTTTAAAAAGCAAGTTCCATGTGAGACCGCAATTAGCTAACAGGGAGTAAATTTCTATGATCTTTGTTGAGGTATTTATGTTCTTTCCTAACATATTAATGTCATCAGAATAAACCAGTAAGTACGTGGTCTGTTCAGTTTCAGTTCCTGCTGTTTCTCTTGGACTTTCAAAACAGCATATTTTACCATGAACCTGAAAAGCAGTGTCAGTAGAATATACCCTCATTTCAAACCATTCTCAGCATGAAATTTAATGTAAATGTTCATCTGCATGGACTTGATTCAAATGCAACGTAATTAACAACTGTGTTTATGGTTATACCACAGTTATCTTTCAGCATTTGTCTTTTGAGTCATAGGCTTTATTGAGGCCTGTAAATGGTAGAAAATCTGGTAATTTTACTTCCACTCCTACACTGATGTCTGATGAATGCAAAAGATATGGTCATTATTTAAATTGTTATGTTGGTATCTGCACTGACAGTCCTAAATAATTTCACCCACATAAGTTTTATATGAAATTATTAAAAGTGGGATTACTTGATAATTTTGTTACAGTGCGTTATATCTCTGTTTTAAAAGATACAACAGATTGATTTCATTTTTGTGGCAATTCTGCCTTATAAAAGGAACTTGTCCCTGTGGTTAACTAATTAATCACTGCATCATGAAGCTATATGATGGGGCAGATGTATAGATCCACGTTTTCTTGATCTCAGCACTAGTTGGACATGAATGGTCAGCTTCACGCCTCAGCTGCTTTACCCCTAGGGAAAGAGCTCTTGGTGCCCATTGCAGGCCCCAGAGCAATTCTGGTATTCCCAACAGTTGTGCTGTTGCTAGTGGAATATTTTGTGTTTGTTTGATGACAGGTTATGTTGGTTTGGTAAATCAGGCAATGACCTGTTATCTCAACAGTCTCCTCCAAGCTTTGTACATGACACCAGAATTTCGTAATGCTTTGTACAAGTGGGAGTTTGATGGCACAGAGGCAGAAGCAGTGAAATCTATACCATACCAACTGCAGAAATTGTTCCTCAATTTACAAGTAAGTACAGTTTGTAATTAATGCATAAACATGTAAAACTTAAGATCTAAAAGTTTGCAGCAATGATATACAGCTGTTGACTGTTCAGGCATTATGCATTGTCCTTTTTTCTTTCTACCGGGGACTAGACATTGTCTTGGTCTCAGGTAAAAACTGACTTAGTTAGGCCCAGTCGATAGATCCAGTCAGTACCTGTGGACACCAGAACCAGCACAAGACAATATATAAATCAAAGACAACATAAACCATCAGTGGGAGTTAAGACAGACATTACAATACTCCACATACATGAGGCCATGCACCTATGGCTATGCATAATTTAACAACCAGTGTCTGTAAAATCATTACTCTCAAAATATAAGCGAACACTAGAGTCAAATTCTAAAAAAAAAAATTTGGAATAAATAATTAAAGAACAGGATGATAGATAATTCCCAAAAAGTCAGTAATTGTATATAAGACATACGTGATAAAGTATGTAAAATTATCTTCAAAGATAACAAAAAAGTTTGAAGACATTATGCTTAAGATGGTCTGTATTCATTTCAGAATCATTTGAATGTTGTGCAATATATGGAATGTGGTCATGAAAAGTGATCAGTCAGTATTCCATCACAATCACATGCACATAGCACCCGTCACTTTTCCTAACCAAATTATGGAATAAACGTTATTTGTGATTGTGTGGTTTAGTCTTGTATAAACCCAACACCTTTCCCTTACTTTGACTGAAGAAGGAGCCAGTAGGCCATCCAGAATTTTGAAACATTTTATTTTTTGTTTGTTTTTTGTGTGGTGCAAAAAACACAAATTCTGCAGTGAATATGTATTCATTATTTACATTAACATTGCCAAATCATGTTGTTGTTACAACAATTTTCAAACATGCTGATAGAAGAAAGCATTCAAATCAAAGTGGTTACTGCTAAAATGTTGCAGACATCATCCAAATCAGCAGTTGAAACAACAGAACTGACACGCAGCTTTGGATGGGATTCTGGTGAAGCTTGGCAACAGCATGATATCCAAGAGCTTTGCAGGGTTATGTTTGATGCTCTTGAACAGAAATTTAAACACACAGATCAAGCTGATCTCATACAGAGACTCTATGAAGGTAAGAGTTTGACTGTGTTCAGACTGCATTCTGAAATTCTGTATTTCAGCAAATTTTTTACCAAAGTTGCTTCCAGATATAATGTGTTAACTGCTTCATTTCACCAATTTAAAATATAATTATCCTTCATTCCCAGGAAAGAAACTCACAGAAATATTCTGATGTATTGAAGGGTTATGCCAAGTTGGTGCGATTGTATGAACTCAGTTGAACTGTTAAACTTTCTTAGCAAAAGACATCTCAGTCCATTGCACTGTTTGGTGTTTAAGTGAATAATAATTCTGTCAAGTGTAACCAGTTTAACATAAGAATATATAAATACACCTTTACATGTTTCGCTCAGCACTGGCCATCATCATAAGGTTCTCCAACAATATAAGGTAATATTTCTATATAGGGATTTTTACCATTAAAAATCAAAACTAGTTACATCAAATTTTTGTTAAAATTAAATATTAATGTTATTTAAAATGGTTAAAAATATAGCTATATAACATTGACTTGATATTTTCTTTTTTGCACTGTTAGTATTGTCGCGTATCGGGCGTATATCGCGACAAATTCTCGATGTATTCGATGTAGCGAATTTTATTTCACATTCGCACTTACAATCACCCAAATTACAGATTCACGACTACTGCTATCTGCAGTATCACAATTAGTACACTCCAAATGCCACAATACAACTGACTGGCTGACTGACTCTGAATACAACTCGGCGACTGTTACAGTACAACTCTGGTAGCCACATTAGAACTGACTGTGAATAGCCTTCGCTGCGCCTCATGTAGCCTCGATCGGACCATACGGAAAACGGCCGCGTAATAGGCACCCTCTTTGCCTGGCGCTGTGTTGCTATGTAACGCTAGCGGAGGTAACCGCTGTTACTATCGTAACGTCGCCGCTGTTGACTCGCGTTGCCTAGCGACCGCGATATCCCTCGGTGACGTCACCGCGGAGGGGAGTGGCGGGGCGGGAACTCGCCTATTACCGTA